TATCGGTTAGAATTTGGAATAGACGGTGTAGTATAGTCGGGTGATGAGTGGGCCGTGCTACTGGGACTGATTTGGATTAAATCGGTCGATTCTTGCGGTTTTGATGATTTTGGAGCAGCCATGGGAGTTCTGAGTTCGCAGGCTCGCTAGACGAATGGCGGCGATGCTTCGCCGGGCGAAGCCCAGCGAGCAACAACGAACAAAGTCAGAAGCATCCACTTTGTCTTCGCTGGCAAGTTCTCCAGGCGAATGAGTGTGGCGAAGGTTCGCCAGGCGAGTGTGCTAGCGAGTGCTAGCGAGTAATTACAGAATAACTCCCAGTGGTCTTCGCTGGCAAGTTCTCTAGGCGAACGAAGTAGCGAAGGTTCGCCAGAGGCTTCGTCAGGCGAAGGTCGGCGAATGTGACAGCATTTGTTTTATTTTGGTTGGTTCCATCCAATGTCGATGTATTTGGTATAATTATGTAGCGTATAGCTTGTGCGCTGTTATATGATGTGTTGTGGGTAGCCGTATGGCGTGAATCCTAGATTATGAATCGATTATGAATATGTGGCCTTTTGGCATATATGATGCATTGTTTAAATTGATTGAAATGCTGATGAATGTGATTGGGTTTGTTGCCGTTTGGCACGTTATTTGTAAGTGCACATTGCTTGTATGCGATGGTGGGTAAAGAATGCATGAGAATATATATATATATATATATATATATATATATATATATAATATATATATATATATATATATATAATATATATATATATATATATATATATATATATATATATATATATTATATATATTATATATATATATATATATATATATATATATATATATATATATATATATATATATATATATATATATATATATATATATATATATATATATATATATATATATATGGCGAGTACATATGCATTGTTTGGTGATGTAAGAATGGTGTGGGAAATATGTATATGTGTTGAGTCGTACTCACTGGGGTAGAATGGCAAGATGTCGTTCCTAGTGGAGTAATCATTGGGGTAGAATAACAGGATGTTACTCCTAGTGAGGTATAGTGTCGTGGTTGTACACACCGGAGTAGAATGACTAAGATGTCGTTCCTGTGGAATAATTACCGGGGTAGAATAACTGTGACGTTGTTCCTGGTAGGGTATAAGTGATGTACCCATACTCCCAAAAGGGGATTGGTGTTAATTGATGAGTTTTATATGAGTCATATGACATAAATATCATTGTTGAATTGTGAGTTATAATGTGAATCTAGAATGAAGCGATATGAGATGGATGATGAACATAGGTATATATGCATTGTGATATATATATATATATATATATATATATATATATATATATATATATATAATATATATATATATATATATATATATATATATATATATATATATATATATATATATATATATATATATATATATATTGTGAATGCATATTGAATATACGTGCTGATACGTGATGTATGATGAGATTGATTGTGAATGTGAACCATGTTTGAATGGTGTGAATGAATGATGAATACCTGTATATATTGTGACATGTGCATATTGTGAGTGTATAATGAACATATGCGATGAATGTGAAAGATGCATGAGTCATGTTGCATGTGTAGCATCATGGTATGCATTCTTGTGTCGATTGATTCCTCGGTGAATCTGCAGAACCTCGTGTGCCCTTGTGGGGTGTGAGCGATGGTTATATATTGATTCCTCGGTGAATCTGCAGAACCTCGTGTGCCCTTGTGGGGTGTGAGCGATGGTTATTTATTGATCCCTTGGTGGATTTGCAGAACCTCGTATGTTGCGATGGTTATATTGATTCCGCGTAGAATCTGCAGAACCTCGTGTGCCCATGTGGGGTGTGAGCGATGGTTATTTGGTTCTTTAATTGAACCTGCTGAAATGAGTCGGTACCATTCGCATTTGCATCTGCATAGAGTCGTGAGTCGGTCTCTATGAGTTGCATTGATCATCTTTATATGGTACATTGGTGAAATAAACATGAATGTGAATGTTTATGTGAGTTGGTGGTGAAAAGAACGTACTTTGTATGTTTATATGGATTGATTGGAATTGTGGATGTACGCATGTTAAATATGCTTGATGATTATCCATACTTGTTTATATGTAGATAGCAATGTATATGAGTGAATCGTGAATGTATGCATGATGAGATGCTTGGTTATATATATGTATACATTGTAATGTATGTTAGTGAGTGGTGATGTATTGTGGTAAGAAGTATAATATGGATATTCTATATTATAGAAATATATTATGTTTTGTTATTGTGTTAATATGCATTGTGGTGAGAAAAGGTGGGATATATGTATTATGTACCTGTGCATTTGTATATGATTATGTGCATTGATTATTATGGTAATGTTTCTCACCCTTCTGCTAGAATGATGTCCTTTATGACATCGTGCAGGTATCTTGGAGTTGTACTGCTAGTAGTTGCGAGGTCTCTGCTGGTGCAGTCGTTTAATATTTTAATTATGTTGGGTCGAGTCATGCTCTGGTTATGTAACACTGGGATGTTGAGTTTATGCCTTAGAGATATATTATGTATTCTAAGTTGTGTTTTAAATATATTTGAAATATGTGATTAATGCCCTCTGTGACTAAGTGTTGATGATTATGTGATAAACATGAATATTCTGTGAAAGGATTTATGTAAATAATTTGAATCCGCTGCTACATGCAAGATGAAAATTTAATAGCATGATTATTCATTTCAATGTTACATGAGTATGACAGGTGAATGTTGATATTTTGTAAAATTGTGTGACACCCTTTTGTGAAAGCATGTTAATTTACTCTGATTAATTATGTGTTATTCTGTGGGGTTAGAAGGGTGTTACATTAGTGGTATCAGAGCCTATCGATCGGACCTTGGGCAACCCACCGTTTAAATCCACGCACCAAGCCCAAAAAGAGTGCTGAGCGTGAGGGTGTATTAGGAAGATCCTAAAGTCCCACATTGGTTGGCAATAGAGTATTGAAATAGTTTATATAGAGTGACACCCCCCATCACCTTATCAACCGATTTTGTAAGGTTGTGTTAGACCAAACTCTAAAGGGACTTACACCGACTAATATTGTTTTCACCAAAAATCATAAAACTCATTTTTAAACAATACTAAATCATCTTTATGAATTTTATTATTTAACTTGTATTTAAGTTTTCTATATCTTAGCAAATATAAATTTTAAATTACTTATATGAGTTAACATTTTAAAATATTTTGATTGAATGTATGTGTAATACTTTCTTATTGTGCCAATGCAATACCATATATATATATATATATATATATATATATATATATATATATATATATATATATATATATTATATATATATATATATATATATATATATAGAGAGAGAGAGAGAGAGAGAGAGAGAGAGAGAGAGAGAGAGAGAGAGCTGTCAAAATGGACTAGCCCACCAGGCCCGAAAATCTTAGAGCCTGAGCCTTAAAATTAGAGTCCATATTAGGGTTTTTCTATGCCAGCCTTGAAAAGTCCGCTACCTATTATGAGTGGCTCATATGGACCATGAGTAGTCCATTAGGCTAACATCGCTATAAATTTTAAAAATTTATATTGTCTTACTTGAAGGAACACATTGATTTTTCTTAACTCACTAAATTTTGTCTCTATTCTATTCAATCTTTCTCTTTTAAATATTATACATTAATATAATCAACACTCTTTTCTTGTATTCTATTAATTTCTCTTATTTAAATATTCGAGTATTATTTTATATAATTTAGATATGTATTGTATTGAAAAACACATTATAGTATTTATAAAAGATAATATAGTACTTAAAAATGTATTATGTTTAAAATAACATAATTTTTAATTTTATTTATAATAAATATTATGATATTTTTATTTTTTTTATTAAAAAAAATCTGTTTAGGGTCGGGTAGCCCGAAGTCCATCTAAGGTAGTAATTTTCGAACCCATATTAAAAATGAACATTTTTAGCCCGACTCCATTTTGACAATATATAAATATATATATATATATATATATATATATATATATATATATATATATATATATATATATATATATATATATATATATATATATATATATATATATATATATATATATATATATATATATATATATATATATAAGTTTCATTTTACATTTTTAAAATAAAACACAAGAAGAAGAAAAATTACACCATAGGATGGACACATATTTTCCAATCTTGAACAAAATCATTTATGGCCTACCAAGAAATTAAAAAAGAAGTTAACTTAAGACGCATGTATAACATGATCACCATTTTATAAATAGGGAACTAATCCTCTCCAAACATCGTATCAATCTCACTTGCTTAAACTCATTTTTCTATATCCATTTATCAATTATCCCTTTGCAAATACACCATGGCTGAAGAGGGGAACCGTAGCCGCGGCCTCTTCCACCACCACAAAAAGGATGAAGATGAGAGACCTACCGGTGATGACTATGACTCCGGTAATTACAGAAAAACATCACACAATGATGAGTTTTCTAGTGGTGACAATGAATCTAGTTACAACAAAAGTACTAATTACTCTGACGATAACCAACCATCTGGTGGTGGTTATAACAAAACATCGTATGGTAATGAAAACCCAGGTGGTGACTATGAAACTGGTTACAATAAAACATCATCTGATGGCTATGGTGGTACTGGTAGTGGATACACTGACACCAACACAACCACCGGTGGCGGCTACGGTGGTGGCTATGGTGACTCTGACACCAGAACAACTACCGGTGGCGGCTATGGTGGCTCTGACACCAGAACAACTACCGGTGGTGGCTATGGTGACTCTGACACCAGAACCGGTGGCAACTATGGTGGTGGCTATGGTGACTCTGATACCAGAAAAACTACCGCTGGTGGCTACGGTGGTGGTGGTGGCTATGGTGACTCCGACATCAAAACAACTACTGGTGGCGGTTATGGTGGCGGCTATGGTGACTCTGACACCAAAACAACCACCGGTGGAGGCTATGGTGGTGGTTATGGTGACGATACTAATCGTCGTGAGGATGATGTTGATTATAGGAAGGAGGAGAAACATCACAAGAAACTTGAGCATGTGGGTGAGTTTGGTGCTGTAGCTGCTGGTGGTTTTGCTTTGGTAATTTTCTTTACTTATCATATTATTACTCCTAATTGCTATTTATTTTCTCATAATATAGTTTTCTCCTTTTTGAAACTAAAATTGAAAATTTGAAAGTAATTAATTTAGTTAATTTGCTGTGATATAGTATGAGAAGCATAAGTCAGAGAAGGATCCTGAGCGCGCTCACAGACACAAGATCGAAGAAGAGGTTGCAGCAGCAGCTGCAGTGGGATCTGGTGGATTTGCCTTTCATGAACATCATGAGAAAAAAGAATCAAAGGAGGAAGATGAAGAATCCCATGGAAAGAAAAAACACCATTTCTTTGGATGAACATATGTGAATATGATTATATAATATAAATATAATAATAATAAGCATACAAGCATTATGGAAATATTCATTCTGCTTAGCTTTTACCCTATAATTAATTATGCTTTTGGGTTGTTTATGTGTATTTATTAGTATTGAGTTCATCTAATTGCAGTTTCCTTTGAGTGGTTTGGAGAATGTAATTTTCAGATTGGTATCATATAGATGATGCATGTATGTATGAATCTATATGTTGTGTTAAGTGTTGTAAGAGAATGGAGATGATTTCAATAAAGTTACTAGTTCTTATTAGAAATATTAATTTATTATATTATTTATGTTGGTAACTGATTTGTTTGAGTTTGTCCTAGTCTTTAGGGATATTTGATTGAGTAATTAGTGGGTGCTGAATTTTAGGAATATATTGTTAGTGGCTTACAGCCTTATTAAGCAGTTTATAATTCTTGTTATGTTAACGCATCAATAAAATAAAACAGCAGTTTTTCGGTGCCTCTGCACTCTAAGTTAACAGTGGTATCTAGAGCTGGTTCATTTAGAAGAAAAAAAATCTGAGTGAAACACAGTGAGATTTGAGCGAAAACATCATCGATGGCATCTTCCAATGAGAATTTTGTGCAGGCTGCAATTCCTCGTTTTGATGGTCATTACGACCATTGGAGCATGTTAATGGAGAATTTCTTGAGATCCAAAGAATATTGGCAAGTCGTTGACTCCGGATTTACAGAGCCTGTGAAGGGAGCAGTTCAAACAGATGCGCAGAAGGCAGAATTTGAGGCACTGAAACTCAAGGATCTTAAAGCCAAGAACTACTTGTTTCAGGCCATAGATCGAGCAACTTTGGAGACGATTCTCAGCAAAGAAACCTCCAAACAGATTTGGGACTCAATGAAGAAGAAATTTCAAGGGAACGCTAGGGCAAGACGAGTGCAGCTTCAAGCCCTACGGAGTGAATTTGAGACTTTACGCATGAAGTCGGATGAGTCTGTCACAGATTTCTTTGGAAGAACGATGATCATCGCCAACAAAATGAGAATTCATGGAGACAAGATGGATGATGTGACCATTATTGAGAAGATTCTTAGATCAATGACAACTAAGTTCAATTTTGTTGTTTGCTCCATTGAAGAATCCAAAGATATTGATTCACTCACGATTGATGAATTGCAAAGTTCCTTGTTGGTTCATGAGAATAAAATCAGCAAACAAGACAAAGAGGAGCAAGCACTTAAAGCCTCGACTTATTCAAATACCTCTAATTTTAGAGGAGGCCGAGACAGGGGCAGGGGCAGAGGAAGAGGTCGAGGCGGTTACGGTAGAGGCGATAATGGTCGTAGCAGCAACCATAGCAACAATCCCGCCAACCACCAGAATTTAGACAACTCAGGAAGAGGAAGAGGTCGAATGGGCTATCGTGGAGGTAATCATTCAAACAATTTTCGCCCAAAATCTAATGTTGAGTGCTATCGCTGTCATAAATATGGTCATTATCAGAATGAATGTAGAACTTACTTGAATTGCCAAAATGGAGAAAGGACCAACTTTGCAGAAAGAGAAGAAGAGGAATCTCTCTTGATGGTGTGCAATGTAACCGAGGAAACTCCAGATAATCTGTGGTATTTGGATACGGGCTGCAGCAATCACATGTGCGGTGATAAGACAATATTTTCAGATTTGGATGAGTCTTTTCTGAGTACCGTCAAATTCGGCGACAACTCCAAAATTAATGTTGCTGGAAGGGGCAATATTATTTTCAAGGCCAAGGGAAATAAAAGTCACAAGATCTCCGATGTCTTCTTTGTCCCAGAATTGAAGACCAACTTGATTAGTCTAGGACAACTTCAAGAAAAGGGGTACGAGATTCTGATCAAGAATGGTGTTTGTCGGGTTCAAGACGAAAAATTAGGGTTGATTGCTCAAGTTAAAATGACAGATAATCGGTTGTTTCCGTTAAATCTGCATAGATCCACCGGTTCTTGTTTCTCAGCAAAGATTCAAGACTCAACATGGTTATGGCATTTTCGCTATGGTCATCTCAATTTTGGAGGATTGAAAACACTGCAGCAGAAAAATATGGTGACAGGTCTTCCGGAAATCGCACCTCCAACTCAGATTTGTGAAGATTGTGCTGTCAGCAAGCAGCATCGAGACTCTTTTCCATCTGGAAAATCCATCAGAGCCAAGAAAGTGCTAGAGGTGGTTCATTCGGACATTTGTGGCCCTCTAAATCCAATCTCGAATGGAGGTAAACGGTACTTCATTACTTTCATTGACGATTACAGTAGGAAGATATGGGTGTATTTTTTGAAAGAAAAATCTGAAGCATTTGATGTTTTCAAGACATTTAAAGTGTCTGTTGAAAAGGAAAGTGGATGTGTGATTACGGTTCTGCGAACAGATCGTGGTGGAGAGTATACGTCGCATGAATTCGCAAAGTTTTGCGAGAATCATGGAATTCAAAGGCAGCTTACAGCAGCATATTCACCTCAGCAAAATGGTGTTTGTGAGCGGAAAAATCGCACTATTATGAACATGGTTCGAAGTTTGCTAAATAGAAGTGGAATCTCTAAAACTTTTTGGCCCGAAGCAGTGAATTGGAGCGTCCACATTTTGAATAGAAGTCCGACCTTTTCTGTTCAAAACATGACTCCTGAGGAGGCATGGAGTGGAAACAAACCAGCTGTCAATCACCTCAGAATTTTTGGGTGTGTTGCCTACGCTCATGTCCCGGATCAAAGAAGAACAAAACTTGAAGACAAGGGGGTGAAGTGTATTTTTCTTGGTATTAGTAATCAGTCAAAAGCATATAAGCTTTATAATCCTAACACCAAGAAGATTATAATTAGCCGTGATGTGATATTTGATGAACAAAATTTTTGGGCAGCGAATAAGAGTGTTGTTGTGCATCAAGAGAAACTGGTGGATTTTGATGAAATTGAAGATGAGCAGGCTGAAACTTCAAGTGTGCAGCACCGGTCCACACAACAGCAGCCCGCAGAAACAGCAGCTGATAATTCTGTGCAGACTCTTGGCTCACCAGCAACATCAACTTCAGAACCTCGTCCTCGGTGTGATAAAAGAAGTCGCTCACCAACAGCATCAACTTCAGAACCTCGTCCTCGGCGTGATAAAAGAAGACCTGGTTGGATGATTGATTATGAGGTGACTGGAGTAAATCAATCAGAATGTCAACTAACACACTTTGCATTTCTTACGGATTGTGATCCCATGGTTTTTGAAGAAGCTATTAAGGAACCAAAGTGGAAAAAAGCAATGGATGAAGAAATTGCTTCTATTGAGAAGAACAACACTTGGGAGTTGGTTGATCTTCCACAAAGGCAAAAGACAATTGGTGTGAAATGGGTGTATAAGACAAAATTCAAGGAAGATGGAGAAGTTGACAAGTACAAGGCACGACTTGTCGCTAAAGGTTACAAGCAAGAGTTTGGGGTGGACTATACTGAAGTATTTGCTCCAGTTGCAAGACATGATACAATTAGAATGGTGGTTGCTGTAGCTGCACAAAATTCATGGCCCATCTTCCAATTGGATGTAAAATCAGCATTTTTACATGGTGATTTGAAGGAGCAGGTGTTCATTGATCAACCTCCTGGATACATGAAGTTTGGATGTGAGCACAAAGTCTACAGACTAAATAAGGCTTTGTATGGATTAAAACAAGCACCACGCGCTTGGTACAGTAGAATTGAAGCTTACTTCCTGAAGGAAGGGTTTGAGAAATGTCCTTTTGAACACACACTTTTTGTGAAAAGTGGGGAAGGAAGAAAATTGTTGATCGTGTGCTTGTATGTGGATGATTTGATATATACAGGGAACGATTTCAGCATGTTTGAAAGGTTCAAGAAATCTATGATGTTGGAATTTGATATGTCTGATTTAGGGAAGATGCATTATTTTCTCGGCATAGAAATAGTGCAATCAAAAGCTGGCATTTTTATCTCACAAAAGAAGTATGTGCAAGAGATTCTGAACAGATTTCAGATGTCAAATTGCAATTGTGCTGCTACACCTACTGAAGTAGGCTTGAAACTTGTTCGAAATTCGGATGAAAAGAAGGTTGACAGCCAACTTTACAAGCAAATCGTGGGGAGTCTGATGTATTTAACAGGAACGAGGCCTGATATCATGCATGCTGTAAGTTTGATCAGCAGGTATATGGAAAATCCTAAGGAGAGTCATCTCTTGGCTGCAAAGAGAATTCTCAGGTACTTGCGAGGTACTACTAGTTTTGGAATTTTCTACAAGAAGGGAGAAAATTCGGATCTGATTGGCTATACAGATAGTGATTATGCTGGAGATATTGATGATAGAAAGAGTACTTCTGGCTATGTCTTTATGCTGGGTTCTGGAGCCATCTCATGGTCATCAAAGAAACAAGAGATAGTCACCCTATCAACTACCGAAGCAGAATATGTTGCTGCAACAGCATGTGCTTGTCAAGCAATTTGGCTTAGGAGGATACTTGAAGGGCTGAATTTTGTGCAGGAAAGGGAAGTTAATGCTACTGCAATTTATTGCGACAACAGTTCAGCTATCAAACTGTCCAATAATCCTGTTTTACATGGAAGAAGCAAACACATAGACGTGAAATTTCATTTTATCCGGAATCTCACAAAGGATGGAGTGATTGAACTTCACTACTGCAGAAGTGAAGACCAAATTGCCGATATAATGACCAAGCCATTGAAGCTGGCTGCATTTCAGAAGCTCAGAGCATTGTTGGGAGTGTGTGATAAACTGAATGTTTGAAAACTTTCAGTTTAAGGGAGAATATTAGAAATATTAATTTATTATATTATTTATGTTGGTAACTGATTTGTTTGAGTTTGTCCTAGTCTTTAGGGATATTTGATTGAGTAATTAGTGGGTGCTGAATTTTAGGAATATATTGTTAGTGGCTTACAGCCTTATTAAGCAGTTTATAATTCTTGTTATGTTAACGCATCAATAAAATAAAACAGCAGTTTTTCGGTGCCTCTGCA